GCAGGCAGCGTCTGTGCGGTAAGACGCAACTGGTCCCAGTGCAGTTAGCCGTGCACCCAGGAGGCAGTTCAGCCTTCACCTCTCTGTGCTCTGGGTTTTCACCTGTGACATGGGGATAACACTAGTTATTGCCTCCGGGATGCTGGCAGCCTGGAACGAGTTAGTGAGCACAGAGCTGGGCCCTAGACTGTCAGGATTTGCTCCTGGGAGGCTCGTGGTCAGAACTATGCTTTCAGAAAAGACTCTGGACTTGCCCTTTAGGTGAGGGTGGCCCGGGAACCCAGAGAAGCACAGCTCTCTTCTTAAGGCACCGAGAGCGATCGAGCAAGTGAAGTATTTCAGGGCTTGGATTCCAAATTGAGGACAGGGAGGGACCGAAGGCGAGCCCGGCTCTCAAAGCTCCTTCCCGCCCAAGTGAGGGCACCTGCACACTGAGGAGCAGTGGCTGCAAACAAGACCTAAAGTTTTGCAGCCTCGTGGAGGAACAGAGAGAGAGACGCCAAAGCTCGGCGCTCACTTGGGGTTGGGGGTAAGCCCCCACACTAAGCTGGGTGAACTTGAAGTACACAGTCCTCATGCGGCCTCACGCTTTGCCATCCCCTCACCCAAGAGATCCAGGGCCCCTCAAACTGGGACTCAGATCAAGGCTCGGATTCTCGGTTCCCGATGGATAGCATTCTGAGGTTCCAGAAGCAAAGAAAAGCCTCTCTGGTGGAAGCTGGCATCACCTTAGGCCTCAAGCTAGTCCTGTAAATAATTGTTCAAGTACAAAACCCAGGTCACAAAGATAATTGGGCACATAAGGAAACAAGGTACCACTCACAAGAATCAGCAGAAATGCAAGAAACATTGGATATCAGAATTATCAGACCAGAGACTATAAAGTGACTAAGTTTACTGTGTTCCAAGTGCAAGCTTTAAATTTCTTCAAGAGAATGGCCAAAACAATCTTGAAAAAAGAACGAAGTTGGAGGACTTACACTTTCTGCTTTCAAAACGGACTGCAGAGCTGTAGCAGTCAAAACAGTGAGGTCTTGGCTTAAAGACAGAAATACAGACAAATAGAAGAGAATAGAGAGCCCTCACATATATGGGCAAATGATTTTCATCAAGGGGGGCAACAGAAAGGGCAGTCTTTTCAACAAATGGAGCTGGGACTACTGGACGTCCACATGCAAAAGAATAAAGTTGGAATCTTACCTCACCTCAGATACAAAAATTAACTTAAAATGGATCAAAGACCTAACCATGAGGGCTAAACATATAAAGGTCAGAAGAAAACATAGGATAAAAGCATCACAGCATTGGCTTTGGTAATGATTTCTTGGATATGACACCAAAGGCACTGGCCACAAAAGAAAAAAAAAAAAAACAGACAAACTGGAGTTCATCAAAATTAAAAATATTTGTTTCTATCAGCAGAATGAAAAGGCAACCCACAGAATGGGAGAAAATATTTGCAAATCATGTATCTAATAAGGGCTTAATATCTTAAACATATGGAGAGCTCCTACAACTCAGTAACGACAACAAATGCAAACAACCTCATTAAAAAATGGGCATAAGACTTCAATAAACTTGTCTCCAGAGAAGATCTACCAATGGCCAATAATCCCATGAAAAGATGGTCAACATAACTATCGTTAGGGAAATGCAAACCTAAGCCACAATGAGCTAACACCTCACACCCATTAGCATGGTTCCCATCAAAAAACCTAGAAAAGAACAAGTGTGGTCAGGGACACGGAAAAGCTGGAACCCTTGTGCACTGCTGACAGAAATGTAAAATGGCACAGTTGCTGTGGAGAACAGTTGGCAGTTTCTCAAAAAATTGCAAATAGATATACCATATGATCCGGAAATTCTACTTCTGGGTATATATCTGTATTAGTCAGCTGTGGCTGCCATAACAAAATACCAGACTGAGTGGCCTGAACGACAGAAATTTGTTTTCTTGTAGTTCTGGAGCTAGACATCCGAGATGAAGGTGTCATCAGAATTGGTTTCTAGCGAGGCCCCTCTTCCTGGCTCGTAGATGGCTCCCTCCTTACTGTGTCTCCACACTGCCTTTCCTCTGTGTGCACACGAGAGGGAGAGAGCTCTGTGGTGTCTGTCCCTCTTATTATCAGATTGGGGCCCTACCATACAACCTCAGTTTACCTTCCTAAAGGCTCTATCTCCAAGTACAATCACCTTGGGGGTTAAGAATTCAACATAAGAATTTTGGGTGGGACACAATTCTTCCACAACGATACTCAAAAATAATTGAAAGCAGGGTCTTCAGGAGATCTTTGTACACCCGTGTTCATAGCAGCATTCTGCACGACAGCCCAAAGGTGGAAGCAACCCAAGGTTCACCAATGCATGGATGAATAAGCAAATGTGGTCCATCCATACGATGGAATATGATTCAGTCTTAAAAAGGAAGGAAATTCTGACATGTGCTACAAAGTGGATGAACTTTGAGGACCTTATGCTCAATGAAATAAGCCAGTCACAAAGAGACAAATGCTGTGATTTCACTTATATGAGGGATCTAGAGTAGTCACATTCATAGAAAATAGAATGGGGGTGTCCAGGGGCTGGAGGAGATGGGGTGGGGGCATGTCTAGTGGAGACAGAATTTCAGTTTTATAAAATGAAAAGAGTCTGGAGGTGAAGGTAGTGATGACTGAACAACATGTCCTTAATACCACTGAACTGTACACTTAAAAATGGTCAAGATGTAGGGGCACCTGGGTGGCTCAGTCAGTTAAGCATCCAACTTCAGCTCAGGTCATGATCTTGCAGTCCATGAGTTCGAGCCCCACATCAGGCTCTGTGCTGACAGCTCAGAGCCTGGAGCCTGTTTCAGATTCTGTGTCTCCATCTTTCTCTTTCCTTCCCTGCTCATGCTCTGTCTCTCTCTTCTCAAAAATAAATAAATGTTAAAAAAAAAAAGGTCAAGATGCTAAGTTTTATATTATGTGTATTGTCCACAATATAAAAAATTGACTAAAGCAAAGTCTGGGACAAAAAAAAATAATCAGGAATGGAAATTCTCTTTTGAAAAAACCATTTTAAAGAACTGAATAGAAATTCTAGGACTAAAACTAAGTAAATAACAAATTAAGAACTAAGTAGATAATTTAAAAGCAGATTTAAATGGATAATTTAAGAGCACAATTAAAGGAAGAATTAGTGAGCTGGACCTAGAAGACAGGTCCGAAGAAACCATCTGGAATTTAGAACAGAGACAAAGACATGGAGAGTAGAGAAAAGAAAAGAAGATTTATGTGAAGCAGGAGGATGGTCAAATACAGGTACGGTTTGGAGCACCAGAGGGTAAGGAGGTATAAAGGCAATGGCTGAGAATTTCCAGAACTGATGAAAAACATCAGGCCACATATTCAATAATCCCAGTGATTCCCTAGCTGGAAGAATTAAAATATAGCAACAACAAATGACTGCTGTAAATGCACATCAACGATAAGGAGACAGTTATAAAAGTAGGAATATATGAATTATCATCAAGGGTCTTTCCCGTAGAGTGGCAGCTGATTTCTCATAAGCAACAATGGGGACTAGAAAATGGTGGGATTGTGTTTTGAATACGCTGGAAGAAAATAATCTGCTTGCAGTTTTATACCCAGATAAAATATCCTTCATTACTGCAGGCAAAAGAAAGATAATTGAAATAAATAATAAATAAGTAGGAACTAAATAGCAGATCCACATAAACAAAGCCAAGTCAAAGGGAAATGTAAAGTCAGAGATGCAAGGAGGGGAAAAGGGCAAAGAAGGTGAAAGAAGGTGCTATGAACTGAATGTCTGTATCTCCCCCAAATTCTTAGGTTGAAACCTGGCCCCCACTGTGATGGTGTTAGGAGGTGAGGCCTGTTGGAGGAGACTAGGTATGAGGGTGGATCCCCCATGAAGGAGATTAGTGTCCTTATAAAAGAGACCCCAAAGAGCTGTCTCTGTTTTTCTGACATGTGAGGACACGATGAGAAGATGCTGTCTATTAACCAGGAAGTGGGTCCTCACCAGACACTAAATCTTCCAGCCCCTTGATCTTGACTTCTCAGCCTTCAGAACTGTGAGAAATAGTGTTTGTTGTTTAAACTACCCAGTCTAGGGGCGTCTGGGGGGCTCAGTCAGTTAAGCGTACGACTTCAGCTCAGGTCATGATTTCATTGTCTGCAGGTTCAAGCCTCGGGTTGGGCTTTGTGCTGACGGCTCGGAGCCTGGAGCCTGCTTCAGATTCTGTATCTCCCTCTCTCTCTGTCTCTCCCCCTCCTCATGCTCTAGCTCTCTCTCACAAAAAGACATTTAAAAAAATTTTAACTGCCCAGTCTGTGGCATTTTTATCATAGCAGCCAGAACAGATTAAACCAGAAGGCATGAGAATAAATCTAAATGAACATTGACCATATACAGAAATAATA